CAGCTCTAAAATCCTTAAAAAGGGAAAATAAAGTGTCAAAACGGGGGTGGGATGTGCCCTCCTGGGAGGGATTCGGGAGAGAACACACGGATACACACAAACACCCCCCCCTGCCCCCCCACCCTCCAAAAATCCTCCCGGGGGGGGGGGTCGGTTTGGAGAGATTTGGGCAGAATTTAAGGCTTGAGTTTGAGCCAGGGCTGGAGGATGGCGAGGATGGAGAGGAGGGAGGAGGTGAGGCCGCAGAGCCCCACGAACCCCGCGTTGGTTTGGTACAAGCCCAGCCTGTCCAAGGGGATGAAGAGGTCGCAGGCGTTTTTCACCAGGTCCAGCAGCAGAGGAGGGTTGTTCCTGAGGACCTTGAGGAGGAGCTGGAGATGGAGCTGGACCTTCAAAGCCAACTGGTGGAGGCCGTTGTCGGGCGGGGGGCGGCGAGCTCCGTTCTCCCCCCCCTTGGGTCGTTTCCCTCCGGCCTCACGCTCCATCAGGACGCGGAGCTCGTAGACGTCCCGGCTCAGGTTCACCAGGAGGGCGAAGAGATAATACCTGGAGAAGTTGGGAGAAGAATCAGTGTGGGGTTGGTGGTGGTGGGGTGGGGAGAGAAAGCAGGGAAAGGGGGCAAACAGCACTGAAGAACCACAACGGGAGCCTTCTTCAGGTTGGATCCATGGGCCAAGACCAACGGGATGAGGTTCAACAAGGCCAAGTGTTGGGTCCTGCACTTGGGTCCCACCAACCCCATGGACACTACAGGCTGGGGGCAGAGGGGCTGGAGCTGCCCCATGGAAAAGGACCTGGGGGTGTTCATAGAATGGTCCAGGTTGGAAGAGACCCTTGGGATCATCGAGTCCAACCATCTCCCCTACTCTCCAAAGTCCTCCCCTACACCATGTCCCTCAGCACTGCATCTAAACGGCCCTTAAACACAGCCAGGGATGGGGACTCCACCCCCTCCCTGGGCAGCCTGTTCCAACGCCCGACCACTCTTTGGGTGAAAAATTCCTTCCTAATGTTCAATCTAAACCTCCCCTGTTGGAGCTTGAAGCCGTTCCCTCTCGTTCTGTCACTAATTACCTGTGAGAAGAGACCAGCAAACCATCCCTCCCAGCACCACATCAACCCGGCTTTTGAACACCTCCAGGGATGGGGCCTCAACCCCCTCCCTGGGCAGCCCATTCCAAGGGCTGAGAACCCTTTCAGGGAAAAAATTGTTCCTAATATCCAGCCTGAACCTCCCCTGGGGCAACTTGAGGCCATTTCCTCTCGTCCTGTCGCCTGTGACTTGAGAAAAGAGACCGACCCCCCCCTCTCTACACCCTCCTTTCAGGGAGTTGGAGAGAGCAAGAAGGTCTCCCCTCAGCCTCCTCTTCTCCAGGCTGAACACCCCCAGCTCCCTCAGCCTCTCCTCATCAGACTTATTCTCCAGACCCCTCACCAGCTTTGTCGCCCTTCTCTGGACCTGCTCCAGCACCTCAATGTCTTTTTTTATGGTAGGGGGCCCAAAACTGGACAGTTTGGGCCCGTTGCCCCTCGTCCTGTCACTGGGAACCACTGAGAAGAGTCTGGCTCCATCCTCCTCCAACCCAACCTTTAGACACTTAATAAGGTCTCCCCTCAGCCTTCTCTTCTCCAGGCTGAAGGTCCCAGCTCTCTTTCCTCATCAGGGAGATGCTCCAACCCCTCCATCATCTCCGTTGCCCCACGCTGGACTCTCCCAGCAGTTCCCAGTCTCTCTGGAACTGGGAACTGGACGCAGGATTCCAGTTGTGGCCTCCCCAGTGTGGAGCGGAGCGGGGAGAAGGACCTCCCTCCACCTCCTGGCCACACTCTTCCCTTCCAGTCCCTCAAGAGGCTCCAGAAAAGTTTGGGGGGGACTCTTGATGAGGCCCAAGAGGAAAGGGAAGGGTTTGGAGGCCCAAGAGGAAAGGGAAGGGTTTGGAGGCCCAAGAGGAAGAGGAAAGGGTTTGAAATTTGAATTTGGGCTGAGACCTTGGGGGAGAACTTCCCTCTCACCTGAAGGATCTCTGGCTCCACTTCTCCTGGTCCACGCCGGGCACCAGCCCTGTCTTGCCTGCCCAGAGGACGTTGTCGCAGGCGAAGTACATGGCCCTGTTGAGGTGGCTGAGGGTGACGCAGAAGCGCAGCACCATGTCCGACAGGTGAATGGCCCGTTTCGCCGCCTCCAGCGCCTCGGCCGAGCTGCCCAGACGCAGCACTGGGGGACAGAGGGACAGACAGACAGTCAGTCACCTGGGGGTGGTGGGGTGAGGTGGAGGAGAAGACCCTGGTGTCCCTCCTGGTGTCATATCCGTACCCCCTCTCTCCATGTCTCTCCTCTTCCTGGTGTCATCCAACCCCCAGGTCCCTCCTTCCCCAAGTCTCCATCATTCTCCATCACATCCCTCCCCACCCGGTGTCCCCAGCCCCCCATGTCATCTCCTCCCTACATCGTCTCCCCCCCCCA